ACTTTTGACTCCCCCAAAACACAACTACAAATAGCCTACTGTTGACTGGAAGACTTACCAATAACATAAATGGTTGGTTAACATATTTTGTACGTAGTATGTATTATATACTGCAGTCTTACAATAAGGTAAGCTAGCGAAAAAAATGTTTCAAGAAAATCATAGGGCCGGCCGAGTGGCTTGTTAGTTAAGAGTTGGCTTGGGAGCGCAAGCTCTGAGCAGCAGGGTCGCCAGTTTGGATCCCACATGGGCCAGTGACGCTGCGCCCTCTACAGCTAAGATGACGAACAACAGCTCACCCTGGAGCTGCGCTACCGTGAGTGGCTGGCGATGGCATAGGCTGCAGCGGGGCTGCAGTGGGCTGCCGTAAGCTACCGTGAGTGGCCGGCAGCTGGCGTGACCTGCTGTGAGCCGCCGTGAGTGGCCGTCAATGGCGGGCGACCAATCTGCCTCAGCTGGGAAGAGCGCAATGATCACAATACCAACATGGGCCAGTGAAACGATGTCCTCCACAACTTGACTGAAGAACAAAAGGACAGCAACTTGTCTGTTCCCCTTCCCCGATTCCCCAACGCTGTTCCCTCCCTCAATTCCCCAATAAAATCTTAAAAAAAAAAATCATAAGGAAAATACATGTACAGTATTTATTGAAAAAAAAGCCACATATAAGTGAACCTGTGCAGTTCAACCCATGTTGTTCAAGGGTCAACTGTAATTTAAAAATCAAACTTTACAATAGTACTGTAAATGCAAATCCAACCTTCAAAAGCCACCTCAAGGACTACCTCTCACAAGGAGCCTTCCTAAATCCTTTTGTCCCTCTGCCCAAAGTTAGCATCAAATTCTTTCTTTTCCTCTTTTGTTACCCTTCACCCAACCTCCATACCCCCTCATTTCCATTGCATTTTATTTCTAACACTACTATTATAATTACTAATCTGCCACACGTAAGTGTAGGGGTTGTTCAAATTAAGCTCTGTCACTTGCAGACTGTCTGACCTTGGACAAGTTCACTTTGAACTTCAGTTTTCTTTTTGTAAAATGGGGATGGGACTTAGAGAAGTTGGTCTGTCATGGTACTTGCCATACAACATGCACTAGATTAAAATGTTTATTTTTCGTTTCCCGATATGTGTGACTGTCTTTCACACTGGATTGATTCTTACACATTTTTGTATCTCCTGCAGTGCTTGGCATATACAATAGTAGGTACTCAATACATGTCTGTTATAGTTCAAGTGTTCCAGTTGTAGAAATTTTCCAGCTGTAGTTAACAGTGAACAGACACTGCAGACTATTTAAAAAAGGAAAATGGAAAAAAGGTCACAGGATATATTTTAGTAAAGAATTAAAAATAACAAAAATTATATTAGGAAAAAAAAGTCTCCAAGAATGCATATAAGATTCAATAGTTTCAAAGCTGAGACATCTTTAAGAAAACAAAGTCTAAAAAAAAAAAAAAGAAAAGAAAAAAGAATTAACTTTTCAATTTAACAGTGCTTCTGACAAGTGGAAAAAAATGTACACAAGATAGACTTCTGGGCAGTATACCTATTTTAACTAGAGGATGTTGGGCAATCTTAGAAAATGATCTTATGATTTGTATTTGATTTTAGTAGTGGGAAATAAACATGGGCAAATGAATTCATAAACATCACAATGCATTTATAAATGCTGTAAAAACCAGGGTCTTGGGAAGATGTGCAGGGATTTGCTAAGTGTATCTGTGAAAAGAACTCACCTCTCTCCAGGACACCCACATCTGTGGATGGAATACTCCTTTGAATTAAGAATTAGACTAAACATTATGCCAAGTGAAAGAAGTCAGTCACAACGGACCATGTATTGTAGGATTCCATTTACCATACATTTCAGAACAGGCAAATCCATAGAGACCAACAGTACATTAGTGCTTGCCAGGGGCTGGGGGAAGAGAGTGGCTGCTAGTGGGTATAGGGTTTCTTTTGGGGGTGATAAAAAGTTCTGAGAGTACATAGTGGCGATGGCTGCACTACTCTGTGAGTATTGCAAAAAAATCACTTTAAAGGGCTGAATTTTATAGGTATGTGAATTATATTTCAATAAAGCTGTTACAAAACAAATCAAAAACAAAAACAGACCACTTCTAACCCCAGAAACTTTCTGGCTGACTGGGCTTCCCGGCGAGGCAGTCCACATAGGTCGGAGCAAAGTCTCCGGGAGCGCAGGTTCCTTGTCTTAGTGGGGCTCCTTACCTAACTGTGGGTCTCTGGGTGCGCTGCCCCCTTTCCCGGGTTACGTTTCCTCAAGTGTTAGATGCCTGTGGCCCAGGCTCACCCCAGCTCTGATCCGGGTGGTCACTCCCGAACACCGCACCCCACCTCACCCCACCCCACACGCCTGGGGTCCGTCGGCGCTCCCACATGCCAAGTTACCTGTAGGGACCAATTGCCCCTGGGGCTTTCGCGGTGCTGATCACCTTTCTGATCAAAGATGACATAGCTAATCTTTTTTCCTTTGAGGCCCCTCGGAGAGAACAATCCGGTACACTACTCCTGGTCGCGACTACTCGACTCACCAGCCCCCAGCAGTCCCTACAGAAACACGACGCCGGGGCGGGTTCTCGGCATTCTGGGAGTTGTAGTTTCCGCGCGGCTCCCGGCCACGTGGAGGCAGCTGCCGCACTGGCGCATGCGCCCTCCAGCTCTCTCGCTGTTCGCGTCGTTTTAGAGGAGACTGTGGCGGAGCCTTGTCATTCTGACCCGGGAAGCCCTGGCTTCCTCTGTCGATTCGTCAGGCAGGTAGGTTATGAGGGGCTGGTGTCCGCTAGGGTCCGCGACTTTGGGGGAATGAGTGTGCGTGTGTGTGTGTGTGTGTGTGTGTGTGTGTGTGTGTGTGTGTGCCCTCTTGCCGGCGCCCGCGTACTTTCCCCCACTCCCCACCCCCTGTATCTTCTCTTCTTAAGACCCCACTGACCTCTTATTCCCTTGCTGTCTGCTCCTAGGNTCCATGCACAAAAACTCTTGTTTCCAAATGGTTATTAAAACACATCCAATTAACTTTATCAGGACATAACTAGTTAGTTGGAGTGTTTTTTTCCTTCATAAAATATTGAAAATTACTACCATTTCTAGTATCATCTTTGGATACAAAAAAGCATGAGGCACAATATCCTGGGAAGTCTCCATACAATGAAGCTGGTTGATGGCTTTCCTCTTGTCATACTGGCATATTCATGGAATGATTCCCTTCTTTTTTGCTTGCAGCTTTATAGTTGACCCCCAGGTCAGTCAACCAGGGGTACTGCTACCCTGCTCTCTTTCTTGAACAAAGTATGTACTTGAGGAAGGTATATGCTCCAAGCTCTGTAATCACTCTGTTTTTGTTAATGGTCACTTTTGTTCTGAAGTAAAACCAATGGGTGATTGAGGAATACGGATCAGGGCATAAGGAGGAAGATTACTGATTTTTACTTTTTATTGTAATATCCCCTTAACTATTCTTAATGTCTTCTCCTGAAATTACTATCAGAATTCTCTTCTTAAAAGAGATCTGATCATGTCACTTTCTCTTCAAAAACATCTGATGGCTCCACAATAAAGTTTATACTCTTCAGTTTAGCATTGGAAACCATCACAATTCAGGCCTTGTAACAGTTAATGTTTAGCAAGGGACAAAACAAAAATTCAGATTCAAAGTCTAACTCCTAACCAGTGTTTCCCAAAGTGTAGGTCATACACACATAATGAATGACAGTAAGGAAATGATTTCCTTTCTCTTCTTTTTCTTCATCTGAAAAATGGGGACTGTAATAGTAACTGTGCACATAAAGCACTGAGAACAATGCCTAGTGCTGAGTAAGCATCAATAAATGTTAAATTAAGAGTTCAATCCTCCGATTACATGGAGAAAAAATATCATTTTTAGTAAACAAGTTAAAGAAACCTATCACTTTTAACAAAGAGAGAAAGGCCCTGGGTTCTGAGCCAACTGCAGTATCTAGCTAGAATTTAATAAGATTTCTTATGTAATTGAGTTTATTTTTTACTGTCACCTTCTATTGGGTTGTTTTCTATTTAGAGTACTGTTGTAAAGTTTCCTTTTTAAATTTGTAAAAGTGAGCCATCTCAGAAAAGTGTTAAGTAAATAATATAGGTGGTACATAGATTTGGCAAATGAAAAAAAAGAGTAAAAGTGGTACTTGGATTACTAAAAGTTACTGCAGAAAATCTTTATGCCTCAAGTCATTCCTTCTAACTGGAATGCCCTTCACTCCACGACTTCCTGTTGAAATCCTGAACAAAGTACAGTTCCCCCCTTGAACAATGTGGGGGTTAGGGGATCCCGCCCCCTCCTGACTGCTGAAAATCCAAATATAACTTTTTTTTTTTTAAGATTTTTTTGGGAATTGGGGGAGGGGAACAGACAAGTTGCTGACCTTTTGTTCTTCAGTCTAGTTGTGGAGGACGTTGCTTCACTGGC